TCTCTGTCTATTTCTTTGGGCCATTACTGACGCAATTAGAATTTTTTTAATATTGTGATAAATTTTATAAATTTTATGAATTAGCCAATTAAAATAAATTTATGAATTAGCCAATCAAAATAAATTTATGATTCAAATCATAAATTTATTTTGATTGGCTTAAAAATCCTGGCACTCAATAATGAGCCTTTTTTATTATTAAAAAATGTGCCGATCATCTACTTCTATCACGGATCACGAATTAATCTTTTTTTTTTTACCATTGCAGAACTAATCAAGCTTTCAAAATATCATGTTATTCATTCTAAATTATATCATATAATTGTACTTGCACACATATATATATCAATATATATTTTCAAAAACAATTCTTTTCTTCATTACTGATTTCCTCCTTTATCATCCATCTCACAGGCATTGATCCTTGTCACCGTGTTCTTTAGATCATATTGTTCAACTTTATTTTCAATGAAGACATACCGTCCTTTCAAATTTCAAGATATCCACAATATATATATATTATGTCAACATTAACTTTAATAAAAATAAAATTATTATTGCAAAATTTAAATTTTTGAATGAATCTTTGTTGTTTGTTTCTTGATTACCATTTGAACATCCCATGCCTAAAATACGATACAATCATTGTTCACAGTTTTTAAACTCATTAGGGTGTAAATAATATTTGCACCATCCGCCATAGACATTTTTAAACAAAATATGATTCCAATTAAATATTTGCTTCGTTCAATTCTGACATTTTGAATGGAATAAATAATCATTTCTAAAGCAAGTGTTTTTGGTTTTTTCAAATCAAATTGTCTTTACATATATACGAGTTGTGTGGATGGTTTTCCGTATTTGACTTTGAAATTAACTACGAATAATAGTAATACACATAATATTAATAATGTGTTGGAGCTGTCTTTAATATCTGAATTTGAAACAAATATAGGCTGGTCAATATTAATATTGGTACGTAGAACAACTTTTAGATAGTACATGAGACAGGATTAAGGTTGTGGGCGAAACCTCTTAATGACTGTCGAAACTCTGTCGAAACTCTAATGAACAATTAATGTGTAACCTGTCGAAACTCTGATGATTGGCGAAAACCCCAAATGCGAAACTCTGCCGAAACTCTAATAAACAATTAATGTGTAACCTGTCGAAACTCTGTCGATTGATTTCTGGAGGAGTTTCTCCCGCAACCTTAGACAGAAACAATTGGGACACAGCAAGTTGCTCTCCAGAGATTAGCTTACGAAAAAATTTTACCTAATGATATGCCGGAAACATATGAGACGAGAATACACCCCCTAATATTGGGTGTTGCTAACGATGATGCTAATGCCTTGTCATTCCTTATGAATCATTTACCTGATGAGCTTTTCAATCGAATGGAAAATGCAAATCCCGCAAATATCAATGCATTTTTCACCGATCTCAAGAAATTGTGGCTCAAACGTAGGCCTTCTTCATTTAATTACGGAAGTGCAAATAATATGAATGGGATGGTGTCTCAGGTACCCCAACAAATCGTACAACAACCCACATTCCAACTGCCTCAGCAAATCGTTCAACAACCTGCATTCCAACCGCCTCAGCAAATCATTCAACAGCCAGTATTCCAACCACCAGAATCCCAGCCATTTCAACGCAATTTTTGCCCCAAAACTGAGAAAGCCAAATACTACGAGGAATTGAAAAACTATGCAGAAATGGGTCTTGAAGCGGAAGATAATAGAGTATTCGAACCAATGGAAATTGATTATGCGATAGTCAATGTTGCGAATAAAATAGATCAGCTTGAAGAGTTGTCTACCACCCCGAATTCATCAATAAATCTGGCTAAAAGTCCTAGAGTAAGTACTAGGCCGATCCAGCATAAATGTGAGATTTGTAAAAAGCCAGGACATACTTATCGCAATTGTCCTATAATTAAGAATATGATGGTTAATAATCAAACTAATTCCTCTTCTGGTTTTTTTCGCAAAGAAGTGCTTATCCCAATTGCTCTCGCATTAGTTTTCTGTCTGGGGATAATTATTTTCTTTATCAGCAAGAGGAAGAAAGAAAAATAAACCCTATCTAAGCGGTTCATATAAATGTTTTTGTAATGGTTTTACTTTAACTCCGTCCATAAAGTTAAAATCCAAACAATTATCTCAATTTAATTTTTGTTGATTGATGTTAAAAGTTTCCAAAATCTTTTGGCTAGTTTCGGGACTAATAGAACTAA